AAAAGGATCTCTCAAGTGGGCCTAAATGGGCTTATTCTACGAAGGCCCATCAAGTAGTCTTCTCCAAAACCTTGATTGTCTCCTCGACCGTCTCTACTGTCTCAACCGCACCGCACATCTTCCGGTCACCGTAAGTTTCTGTTCTGTTTTAGAGTTTCTCGCTTGTTCTTGATTCTCCGGTTCGTCTTCTGATTTCCAATCCTGTTTGTTTACTACCATCTTCTTCTATTCATTCGGCTTTATCTCTATCCTTTCAAAGTTTGTTTTTTTCTTCTCCTGCACAGTTATCCAATTTTTCACTAAAGAATTGAAACTGAGGTTTACGGTTTTGGTATTCGGTATTGAAGCTTTTTGTACGGTAAATCTTAGGTTTTTGAAATCGTTTTCGCAGTCAGTGTCTTTGGAAGGTTGGAGTGTGGGAGATGGAGTCCAGTAGATTAGTGGGTGGGAAGCAAGTTTCATTGCCCCTTACTAATAGGACCACTAGGCTTGCCAAACTGAATACTAGACAAGGAAACTTTCTACCTTTAAGTAAAGCCTCTAGCCCCAAACCATGCGCTCTTCTCACCAATTTACACTCCGTGTCTCCGTTTGTGACTCGTCGGAAGAGCCAGATTAACCCCGACTGTGGTGTTGAATCTCCCTTTGTCAAGTTGGAGGACGAAGATGACTCTAGCTGCAGTTCACTTGAGAAACTCCCGTAAGGCTGTTGAGGTGTTGCGTTATCCCTTTGTTTCTCTTTGCCATGTAGCTTCACGGTTCTTGCCTATCTGATGCTTTGATCTCTTTCCTTGTTAGGGAGGTTAATGGAGTCCACACTGGCAAACCACCACCTCCTCCTGTTGATGTCAAACGAGAACTCGTCATGCTCTCTCTTCCGGCCATTGCTGGACAGGCTATAGATCCTTTGACGCAGCTCATGGAGACTGCATATATTGGAAGGCTCGGTAATTTTTTCTTTCCTTGTCATGACTTAGAGTTCATAATTTTGCTCCATGGCAGAGTTAGTTTTGAGAGTTCTAAGGATTCCTTCTTTTGAATTTGCAGGATCTGTTGAGTTGGGTTCGGCTGCCGTCTCCATGTCAATCTTCAATACTATATCAAAGCTCTTCAACATTCCACTCCTCAGTGTTGCCACTTCTTTTGTCGCTGAAGATATTGCAAAGGTTGCCGCAGAAGATGCGGCTTCAGGTAAAAATAAATAATAGGCTTTTTTTTTTTTTTTGGTTTCTCAACTTTTCCCAACCTTATATTTCTCTGAATGGATTTACAGAGGATAGTCATGGTGGCATACCTTCTCAAGGTTTACCAGAAAGGAGACAGTTATCTTCTGTGTCGACAGCGCTAGTGTTAGCCATTGGAATTGGCATCTTTGAGGCACTGGCTTTGTCTTTGGCATCTGGACCCTTTTTAAGGTTAATGGGTGTGCAATCTGTAAGTTCAGTCCAGATAGACCTGATCATCTACTATCCATTGTGATTTCGTGAGAAAACTATGCTGATAAATGTGTTTTTTCTCTTTATACCTGATACCTAGATGTCAGAAATGTTCATCCCTGCACGGCAGTTTCTTGTCCTTAGGGCGCTTGGTGCTCCTGCTTATGTGGTTTCTTTAGCTCTTCAAGGCATCTTCCGTGGATTCAAGGATACAAAAACTCCCGTCTACTGTTTAGGTTAGCATTCTTTGAGATCTTTTGACATTGTCCAAGAGCATTTAATAATATATGTAGTTATTGTCTCCATCTGTTCACTCGTTCCCTGATCACCATAATGCAGGTATTGGTAATTTCCTGGCTATATTTCTGTTCCCTCTGTTTATTTACCAGTTCAAGATGGGTGTCTCCGGGGCAGCGATCTCTAGCGTCATATCCCAGTATGTATCTATAGATTTTGTATTCTTCTCCATTCCCTTTTTCTCCTTTTCTCAACTTTGCAAGATGGTGATAAACCCCTTTCCTCTGATTCTCAGGTACATTGTTGCCATTTTAATGATTGTGCTTTTGAACAAAAGAGTTATACTGCTTCCTCCAAAGTTGGGTTCACTTAAGTTTGGCGATTACCTAAAATCAGGTATGCAGACAATTGTTTCTCACTTATAGCAATGGGAAACAGTTTCATATTTCCAGAACTGAGCTTTTCGACTCTTCTGATACACAATAGCTTAAGTACTTTGTGATTTGGATCTAGTAGAAGTCGCTCATTTAGTCAACGTGGTCGAAACATGGGAAAGACCTGTAAGTACTGTATTGATATCTAGGTTTTAAACCTCCACTTGATTTATAGGGGGATTTGTTCTTGGAAGGACTTTGTCGGTGCTCATGACCATGACTGTTGCCACATCAATGGCAGCTCGTCAAGGAGTTTTTGCTATGGCTGCACATCAGATATGCATGCAAGTGTGGTTGGCAGTATCTCTGCTTACTGATGCACTAGCTTCATCTGGTCAGGTATTAAATTCCCAGCTTTGTTTCCATACCTAGAGATATATGGTTATAGCTTTCCTCATCTGTTTGGTATCAAATGGGATTAGGCCTTGATCGCAAGTTCTGCATCCAAGAAAGACTTTGACGGTGTGAAAGAGGTTACTACTTTTGTTCTGAAGGTTCGAGCTCCATTCCCTTTTTGCTGTTCATATTGACTTCTTTGCATTAAAATTTGCATTGATGAATCTCGCTCTTTTACCTGGAGGAAATTGCGAGAAATAAATATGTAGAAATGCTTTATTGTACATAGTTGGATGTTTAGTCAGTTGAAGGAAATATGTTTGTTCTCTTAATCATTGAGGTGCTGCGTTAAAGAAGTCGAATATCATCTTGTTGGGGTTGCTAGTTGATCTTCTTGTTATGGAGAGAGATGGTAATGCGTGTTAGTGTTGTACAGATAGGAGTGGTGACAGGCATTGCATTGGCTATTGTGCTGGGGATGTCTTTCAGCTCAGTAGCTGGTTTGTTTTCCAAAGACCCTGAAGTTCTGCGGATTGTGAGAAAAGGTGTATTGGTGAGTGACGTGATTTACATAATAGAGTGAGTGGGGGTTTGTTTGGTCGAGTTTTTTTTTTGTGATTTGACTCATGTAAGATGCATTCAGTTTGTAGCGGCAACTCAACCAATAACAGCGCTAGCGTTTATATTTGATGGACTGCACTATGGGATGTCGGACTTCCCGTATGCAGCATGCTCGATGATGGTGGTGGGAGGAATATCATCAGCGTTCATGCTGTATGCACCGGCAGGGTTGGGGCTAAGTGGAGTGTGGGTGGGGCTGAGTATGTTCATGGGGTTGAGGATGGTGGCTGGATTCGGCAGGTAAAGAAAGATACTTTTTTTTTTTTTTTTCTGTCTGTAGTTACAAGTTCATATTGAAAGGGTACTTGTTTGGTATAAAGCTTACAACTGACAAGTGTGTGTGTTTTGATGAATTTTAGATTGATGTGGAAGAAGGGTCCATGGTGGTTCATGCATACAAGTAGCAGCAAGGTACTTGTTCTTCTTCTTCATGTTTTTTTTTTTGATTTGTCTGTAAAGCACTAAAGCTCTTCTTGTTAACTCTGTTTCGTATTATGTAAATGGCAGCATCTTGCTTAAAGCTGTGGGGGAGTAGAGAGAGACGTAGCAATCATCATCATCATCAACTTTTTTACATATACGATCGACATTTTACGTATTAGCTTCTTTTGTTAGTTTGACACTGATTCTTCCTCAATCAAATATATAAATCTGTCAATTTTCTGTCAAAACACGCAAAAGACAAAAGCTAACCATATTTGTGCAAAAGAAGTTGAGGCCATAAAAAAACGGTTGACTAAAGTAGTAGTGGCTGCAACTTATGTGAAAGACATTTGTGCCGTATTTTACTCGGACTCTACAACTTGCACTTCGTTGAGATTAAATAATTAAATAT